TTCTGCCTGCCTGCCTGCCAACCACGACACGTGCCTCCCCTGGCCCCCCTGCCTCCTGTGCAGCACCTGCACCGACGGCATCGAAACCTTCAACCCAGGCGCGGGTGGCGTGAGCTCTTCCAGTACCTAGTGAGCGGCCCACGCGGCTGGGACGGCGCCTTGCATTCCGGTGCCAGTGCCTGGCCGCCACATCGGCTTCCCTTGCCAACTCTGTCTGTCGGCTTACTGCTGACCGCTGAGCGTTGTGCCCCCTGCCCTGCCTTGCCCCCCACAGCGGCGTGGCCTTTGACGATGACGGTAGGCGGGGAGGGACCTGGCCTGCCTGGTGCAGCTGCTGAGCGGCTTGCGCTGCTGCCCGGTGCCTTTGCGGCAAAGGTGGCAGCTGCAGCGGCGCTTGCAATTATGCCACGAGCAGGCCTATCATTCATGCAAGCCTGCCCTGACTCCTGACTCCCTTCTCTCCTGATGCAGACAATGCCTATTATGCTTCCTATGGCTCCAAGTCGGTGCGTGCCCTCCTCCTTCCATCCTCGCAGCTCTTTCTGTTCTGTCCTCCCTTCTTTTCGGTGGTGCCCCGCTGGCCCTGCGCCAAGAGATGCATCCGCACCGGCGCACCTGGCATGCTGCTGCGTCTGGGCCTGGGCCGCCAAGAAGCCGGTCCGTGTCTGCCACTCTGCCTGCTCCACAGGTGTTGAAGGTCACCCCTGCCGGCGAGGTGTCTGTGTTCAGGGAGGGGTTTGTCAACTCCGTCAACGGTGCGACCGCCCGCCGGCGGCGCCCCGCTGCTGCTACGCCTAGCGTGCTGCAGCAGCCGGTGCGGTGCCGTCAGAGTCAAACCCTGCATGGCCATCCATGCAGCCAGCTTAACCTACCCCTTCTGCTCCTTTAATTTCCTTCTTTCTTTCAGGCATCGCGCGCGACCCCACCACTGGCAACTTCTGGGTGGGAGGGTTTGGCACCGGCACGGCAAACCTGCTGCTGCTGAGCCCCACCGGCGCCAACCTTTCCACCTTCGACATGCCGGGCACCAACCGCGCCATGGCCTCCCGCGTGGACTCCTCCGGCGCCGTATACTACGCCATGTCAGAGCCCTCTGGCAACAATTATTCCATCCGCAAGCGCAGTCAAGCAGGTGGTCGGCGGCGCGGCGGCGTACGTGCGTGCGCGTCGCATGCGCGCATGCGTGTGTGTGTGGAGGCACGCTGGCTTGTACGCTGCCGGCCAGCCAGCAGCGGGACGACAGCCGGTGGCAGCAGCAGAGGCAGGGAGGGAGGGAGGGAGGGAGGGAGGGAGG